CTGCTTATGCAAGCTGTAACTTCAACTCTGAAATGTATACTTGGCACTTTTTCTTCACATACAACATATGTACTATCTAGAATTAGAATGGCAACATTGATGTTCCCTTCTTTTAAAAGGTCCTGTGCAAGAAGATGGGTACCGCTATACGTTAATTTTCGGCAGCTGGTATGTCCACATTTAAGATGATAAAGAACAAAACTGCTCATCAAAGCAGAACATGTAGATCATACTGCTCTATTTACATCAAATGCACCTTCCATACCCAGAATTACAGACAGAATTCTGAGGATAACCCAGTATGGAGTTTAATGAGGAATAGCTCCATACATTTACAAAATAGAACTTACGTAAGTACTCCTCAAAGATGGAATCCAGGATACAGTTAATCAAATGGAGACTTAGTCATTCAAGTCAGATTAAAGTATTCACCATTAGTTAGCTTATCTCCTTAGTTCATCATTACACAGTCCTCTTTAGGTCCACACTTCACATGGTACAGGTTACATTCGTATTGATTTGTGAAGATTGAGTTACATTTCAAACAGTACTTTACATTTGAGCTTTAAAAACCACTTCGTAAGCAATATGGCAAAATGCTGTTAGTTCCACACCTATAAGTGTCTCAAATTATTGGATCACATAATTTCTAATGTGTAATTATGCAACTGGCTCTGATGAGCAAGCTTCAATTTTGCTGGATGACATAAAGTGGACATAAAATTAGAGCTGCAGGATTAACCCTATATAATAGAATACCTATTACCTTGTTGAGGGCATTCAATGTAGTGAGCTCAAACATGGATTAAAATACCAAAAGGTAACAGAAGACAGAGATTGATATGTCTATAAATCCACCCTATAAAAATGCTCGTATGGAAGAAAAGTTGAAAAAATGTGCAAACCATGCTGTCAAATGTTATACAAAGTTGGTAATTGACCTGACAAATGAAAATGCCAAAAACTCTTGTTAACTTACAAAAAATTTAATCCTCAAAATGAAAAAAAAAAGTGTTAGAGCAACAATCATGTGGAATAAAAAATTAGGGGTTGAGCAAAAGAACAACTATTAAATGGACCATTACATGTTTTTGGTGACCACAGGAAGTATGGTATAGCACATTACCAATGAACTGATGAAAAAAACATGGATGTCAAACTACCAGACATTATTGATTAAAACAATGGATGCTGTTAGCTATTTGGTAAGGACTGCCAATCAATTTCTAACTGATGCAACAACAAACATATATTATAAATTTATTGGAGGGAAGAACTTCAAAAGATCTCAAGGTGGGTCATATAATTGATGCTACTATGGTGCATGTCTATCTTACCATCTTGTAGTTTCATGGCACTTATGAGTTTTGAAAAGATCAACTCTTAAAAGCCCTATTATTGTAAAGAAATACATTTCTAAGCTGGAAAAGAAAAGAGCTGCAGGGATAAAAAACTTAATGAAGGCCATTACAAAACAGAAATGTGCCAAGTCTAGAAAGAAACAATTCCAACCTCTTGGAGATTCTAAGTGTGGTCAACAAGCTCAACAGCCAGATATGTATTATGAAATACTGAACAGCAGGAAAGAACCAATTATTATTAAAGAACTACAGTTTGCAAAATATCACACACTGAGAAAAGAACAAGAAAACAGGCTGAAGGTTTTGAGTAGAAAGAAGAACGTTTTAAACGTCTTCCTGCATCTAATTTCGGAGCATTATGCAAGATGTGATAAACCACACCATGTACTGCAACTGTGAATAGGCTTTTATATGGAAATAATCTCTCTTCAGAAGCTACAGAATATGGCCAACATTATAAATCTAAAGCCAAACAGCAATATATTGAAAACATATGAAATAGCATTACTTCATGTGGGGTAGTTGTAGATAAAGATTTTGGAAGCATCCCCAGATGGACATATATATGAAAAGAAGGAATGATCCAAATCAAATGCCAGAAAAAAGCTGGAAAGTTAACTCCACTTGAAGAAATAACAGATGGACAGCTAAATTAAAAACAATAACAACACAATGTTTATTACCAAGTTGAAGGGCAACTAAATATCCTAAATTGACACTACTGCGACTTTTGTAATATGGACTCTAAAGGGTATGATTACTGAAAAGATCCAAAAGGATGATGATTTCTAGGATAAAAATGTTTCAGAAACTTGAAAAATTTTATAAGAACTGTCTCTTGCCAGAAATGATTGATCAAAAGACTACCTAGAAACCATAAAACTACACACTGTAACTATAAATGTACTAAGTGTATCTTACATGAAATTTGGCAAGCTTTTATTTTTTAGTAAATACTACAACTCAATCATAAATAAACAATCAGATTTTTTACTAAAGTATTTCTACTAAGCTAGTTTTTATGTTAAGAATAAAAATACTTTATTTTACAGTTTTCATATTTCATTTGCATAACTTCTAGAAACTCCTAAATGAATATCAAAAGTTTTTTTTGTTGTATGAAACTATCTTCGATTTACTGTACCTAAATACTAACTATGACAAAATCACCAATGTACAGTGAAAAGTTGAAAAATATGAAAACAAAATTAAAAATACTTTGTTCTAGTGATTTGAGATTGTAAGACAATTACAATTATTTATTGTAACAGCTACAGCTTCTAGCTTTTCCACAACTGTTTTTTTTAGCTTTATTACTTTCAGTATGCTTTAGACCAGTGCTTCTCAACCTTTTCCAATATCATTCACCACTATACATTTTTCACTCACCCCAGTTTGAAAAAATACAAAAAAAATACTAAATTAAAATTCTTTATTATGCCTTAAATATACTTCAAACTAAAACTAGAATAAATAATAAAAACTAATGAATTTTTTTTGCTCTTGAATTTGTTGTATAATTGATAATACTCATTCACTCCATCATTCTCATTTACCTTGACTCTGACCTCATTAACCCCCCTGTGTGAACTATTCACCCAATTGATAAGCACTTCTTTCGACTGACAAAAGCAATATATTACAGCATGAGAGCTTAGAGTAAATAAATGATCAAGTTACAATCACACTATGCTACGTGCATATGCTTTCCTTGAGCTCAGATTTCAAGTTATCATGAGAATTAAAAAATGTTTTTCATCAGTTTTATTTAACCTAACAAGTTTGTGATAGTTACATTTTAGTTACTTCTGTTAAAAATTTTATAGTAACAAGTAAAAACTATACATACAAACTCATCACTTACTTTGAGCAATGAACTTTGTACTTGGTTTAGTAAGCATACTTTCTTCTCATTATGTTCAAAAAATAATTCATGTAGTTTTCAAATATGCATTATAGAACACAAAAAATACATCAACATTAGAACAGGATGTTCCAAAACTATTAGGTCATCAAGAAATTAATGTCATGTTTTGGAACACTTTCATTAACCATCCCTCTAAAAACATAAATCATGTATAATAGTTAAACGAACCACCTAAACATTACGTTAGTGCAGCCTATATTATGTGTAAAGTTTAGTATACTCTAATCCCTTATAGAGATGGCATACGATGAGACACACACATTCGGCATGTAATGCTGTTTGAATACAAAAAAGGAAAATGCCTCTGTAGCCACAAAGGATATCAAAGAAGTTTATGGAAATGTTTTGAACATTCGTAAGTGTC